CGTCCTGAGTTTCCTCCACCACCAAGTGTGATGCTTATTTGGCAGGAAACCCTGCCCTGAGCTGACAGGAGGCTCTTCACTGCTCTCATTGCACTTCTGGTGAGTAGAAGTGCATCTGGCTGTGGAAATACCGAGGTTTGATTATTGAGGAATGAGGTGACCCGCTGGAGAGGTCAGGAATGTTTGGTACACGCTTCAGGTGACTATTAAAATCTGAGAAATTTTGGTCAGTGTGTATCAGAACGTACCTGGCCCCGTGCTGGGTGCTTGCTAGACCTCGCGCCGTCTTCTAATGAGGAGACGCAGGAGCGAGGGTCCCACAAGCCGCCCAAGAGGCCAGAGAGCCACGGGGCAGTGGGACCTGGGGTAGAGCCTGTGCCTGCTCGTTGGAACTAAACTGTGTGTGGGATTCCTGGGGCCACTGTAACAAGGTACCACCGACTGGGGAGGGGGCGCTTAAAACCACAGAAATGTTTTTGTTCACGGTCTGGAGGCCAGAAGTCCTAGATCAAGGCGTCAGCAGGGCTGGTTCCTTTTGGAGGAGAATCCTTTCCAAGTCTCCTCCAGCTTCCTGTGGTTCCGACAGTCCTCAGCGTTCCTCGGCTTACAGACGCCAACCTCTGTCTCTGTCGTCACAGGGCCTTCTCCCTGTGTGTCTCTCTCTGCTCCCCTACTTATAAGGACACCAGTCACATTGGATTTAGGGCCCGCCCTGATCCAGTACAACTTCATCTTAACTAACGAGCAGAAGTGTGTGTGATATGGGGCTGGAGAGGGGAGAGGATGCCTCCAGGAACTGATGGGTGGGGCCGATGCCCTGTGGGGCTGCTGAGCTCACACTGGCATGTGTTGAGTGGAGTTGCCCAGCAACCTCCAAGGAGATGCACCGGGGCCGCTGGGGCACAGATCCGAGCCCGCCAGCGTCCGGCAGGTGTCTCCCAGGTACGATATCGTGCAGCCTCTGAGCTGGTAGGCAAGTGACTGGACAGGGTCTGGCCACCCGCTTTGCAGGAAGCAGAGTGACAGTCTGTCATGCTGCTGTTGGCTCTATGGCTCGACGCGAGTGAGGCCTGAGTCTTCTGCACCAGCGTCCCAGGCTCTAGACAGCACCGTCCCTGACCTCTAGCCACTGCTCTGGACCAAGGGGAACTGTGCCAGGGTAAGATGAAGTGGAGCATTGGGAAGACAGCAGTCCCCGGAGTCACGAAAACTGGAGGGTGAATCCTGTCTCCATCCCTACAGCTGGCTGACCCTGTAATTCATCACCCAAGCAGGGACACATCTGAGAGTAGAAGGGGGCACTGTTAAATATTACCCAGAACAATAGGCATAAACGGGACAGTCCTAGGCACCTGACGTGTGTGGATACCCCATCTGCAGCTCAGGGAAGTTACTGAACCACTTTGAGCCTCAGTGTGCCTATCTGTAAAGTGGGCATAGCTGGACTCACCTTCATAGGATCCAATGAAATACAGGATGCCTTCTAGAGAGGGCAGAGGAAAGGCTCTCAATAAATGGTGCCTACAACAGTAACACTGATGGAAGTCAAATCTGTACCCTCCCTGAGAACTCACTCCTATGCCTGTTCAGACACTCAAGCCCCCCCAGACCCTCACTTCCTCTGTGCCGAGTCTGTGGTAGCCCCAGGAATCTGCACCTGCCTCCCTGAGCTGCTTGTGAAGTCCTTTTTCAACATTCACCTTGGCCTTTTAGGAATCTTTCCCAGGAGGAAGAAACTGAAGACTCATTCTTTAGTCTGAGAATATTCACGAAGATGTTCGGTTCTTTCCGGTGGACCAAGGGCTTTTGTAGACGGGCTCTCATTAACCCTCCCCAGAGCGCTGCATTATGAGAGCTACAGCTATTCCCCTTCTGAGTCGGGTCCTTCCAAAGCAGAGGGCAAATCGCGCTTAAAGTCTGTTTCTGAGGTGCAATCCCAGGGCAGCAAGAGTAAGGGAAAGAGAAGGAGAGAAGAACCACGGGGACGGATTATTTGGCTGTCCGCCATTTCCCACGAATGACAGCTGTTTGCTGGGTTCTGTGGGACGTTTAACAGGCCTCCTGGTGGGCCCACTGGGCCCCAGAGCATTCTAACCAGCTAGGGACCGAGCGATGTTGATTTGCTGGCTCCTTCCTGAATCCTGTTTCTAGTTGGTCCAAGTTCATATGATGAAGTAACTCGCTCCCCTGGACTTCTGAGTTGTGTTTTTCAACCCGTTGGTCGGTCCACCCCAAGGTGTAGAGCTTCACTCAGAAGCCAGAACAGGCGGGAGCAGCAGGGCCCCCAAGGGTCCACAGGGTTGGACACGGTGCTGGAGCCACTGCAGCTCCCCCTGTGGCAGGAGCGTGGCCGAGGCTGTGCTCCGGCCCTCACTTCGAGGCCAGTTAAGCTGGGGGTGGGCAGAGACTGTGATTGGGGCTCTCCACTGAGCAAGCAGCCAAGGTCTGGGGCCAGGAGGCGCCAAGTGGGTCTGGGGGTAACTGTGGTTGGGTGGATAATTCCCATTTTACATCCGAAGAAATGGAGGCTAGGAGATGTTCAGTAACTTGTCAAGAGGTGGACCCAAGTCTCGAACCCAGATATCCAGGCTCCAGTCCAGGCCCCCGTCCACCTGACCACAATGCAAGTAAGAGAAATGTAGACGCTGGGATGAATTGCAGACACGGCTCCTGTCTATGGACATGATTAACAGCTCACCTTTCCAAAAATGGAACCTACCTTCCTTTCAGCCTTCATTCATTCATCCCCTCGCTCACTTATCCATCAGGTAAACATCTACTTGACTCCAGGGCCCTGTGCCTTCCGTCAACACCCGTATACTGTGCTCTGCCCACAAGCCAGACCCAGAGTCGGCTCAGGCTCCAGCGGGGAAGCAGTTACCTTTACTCTGGGGCGGAATGTCCCCCTTGCTAAGTAAGCTCTTCACGGTGAGTCTTCAGAGGGAGTGAAGAATTGATGTGTAGAAATTAGAAGAAGTTCCCAGAAAAGGTGGCATTTGAAGTGACTCTTGGGGGATGAAGAGGATTTTAAAAAGCGGGTTCTGAGAGAAAGGGCATTCCAGATGGACAGCATGGGCCAAGGGAGGGTGTCCCGGCGTGCAGGACGCTTTCAGGGAAAAGTGTGTCTGAAGCAGCAGCACAGGACTCCTTGTAGGTTTTGTTTTTGTTTTCTTTTTTCTCCACATAACCAGTTCCCTCACTGTCAGAGAGCACCCAGCCCTAGGCCTTTGTCACTTGCTCAGGAATTAGGTAACTGAAAACAACAGAGAAGAGGATCATTGACGGAAACTTGCCAACAGCACCATCCCCCCAGTCTGCGTCTGCCTGAGGCTGTGTAGGTCATGGACAGCGTGAATATCCTCTCTGTTGATTTAATTACATACATGGCCAATGAAATGATTATGAAATTTTACTAAAAAGCCAGTGACATTTACAGAGATTACAATAGGAACCCTCTCGCATGCCCTCTCCCTCTGGCCCTGGGAACACTGGTCCCTGCGCAGTCCACTTTCCCTGGCTGGCGTCCAGGCCAGCTCAAGTGCTAAGTAGAGGGGACACCATCCAAGTTGGGCTGAACCTGGAGTGGAAGGAGCCAGAGTCAGACTTTTTGTTTTGCATTTGGTGAGCCCTGCTTCTCCCCAGCTGGCGCTAGACGAAACCGATGACAGCACTTAGCACACGCATTAGTTTTTTGAGTTTTTAACAAAGCTCACAAAGTAATCAGTGATTCCTCACTGAGTGTTTCCCAAAGGCTAGGTGCTGGGGGTGGGGAGAAGACCCTGGTGTTCGGGGGGGCCCAAGAAACACAGCAAGTCACTTGTGGCAAATGTCCTGAATAGGAGGTCAGAACAACACTGGGGTCCCGACCTGAAAAAAATTCCAACAACTTCTGCTGACAGTAGAAGCAAGGGGCGGCTCGTTGGCACATGCTGAAAGGGGCCATTTGTTAACTGCCTGTGCCTGGGTATTTTTTGTGCTGCAGAGGAATACGAAGCTATAATGATTTATCGGTGTAAACGTTTAACGTTTACTTTGAGTAATACGGTTGCACCATTTCTCCCCAGCATCTCTCAAACATACCAGGATGCTACCGATACGGCACAAAGCTTTCCGACGTTAATTGGTAAAGATGGTAACTCCACGATGCTTATCGACTCGGAGACATTAACCTCCTGGCTGCGGGACTGGGAGTTTTGAAATGCGATCTCGGCAGCTGTAGTTATAATTGTTTAATGTCACATTGACCGGGCACGTTTACGATTTTTAACAAGTCTTAAAAAGTCCAATGACATCTGTTGAGAGTTTAATTGTGAGTGTAAAAAAAAAATCATTAAAGGAACAGTCAAGAGATCAATTTTCATACTGTTTAAATAACACGGTGGCCATCAGGCGGTGGCGGAATCTGGCGACATGAGTAATTTAATCTCCCAAATCGCAGCGCCAGTGCACTGGAGGCAGTAGGGGAGGGAGGCGGACGGAGAGAGAGAAAGAGGGAGCAGCGGGAAAGAGGGATCGGCGAGAGCCAGAGGAGAACAGAAATGGAAAAGTGGACATTTCCCCTCCCACCGGAAAGTATCTCCAACCCCGGCCTCAAGCTGGGCGTCCAAGGTTTTCCTCGGGTTTGGCTGGGGGCGGGGGCAGAAAAGAGGAGGAGCGGCCGGCGCGAGCGGTCCGGGGGCTGGCGCCCCAAGCCGCGGGCTCGGGAGTTTGCGCCCCTCCGCGCCGCCACTTTTGTTCTGCGCTCCAGGCGCCGGGCCGCGGCGGGGCGGCAGTGCGCACGCGGGGGCGGGGGGGGGGGGGGGCGGGCGGCGGGCTCCGGCACCGCCCCCCGCCGCCCCGGCCCGCTCCATCCGGGCACTGCCGAATTAGCATCGTGCCGCGGCACAACTTTGCCGAGGCCCAGCGAGATCCAGGCGCGCGCTCCGCAGGAAATATAGTCCCTGCTGGCTGGCGGCTCTCGCGGGCGGCGGCGGCGGCGGCGGCGGGGCGGGCGCGCGCGAGGCTGCGCGGGGCTCCCGGCGCCGGGGGGCCATGCGCCGGGCCGCGCCGGCAGCCTGGGGACCCGGCGCAACTTGCCGGGCAGCCTGAGGAGTTGGGGCGGCCGCGGGCTCCGCGCCGCGGCGCCCGGCCGCCTTTCTTCCCCCTCGCCAGAACCCGCCTCCCTTTTGGCCGTGGGGGAGGGGGCTCGTGTCCCCCCCTCCTCAGAGACCCGGTCGGCCCCCGTCCGCTCCAGCCCCCGCGGAGCCGCGCAACTTCCCCGGAGCTGGGGCCAAAGTGAGCGCAAAGTGCTGCCCAAGTTGCCGGGATGGAGCTGCAGAGCCGGCCCGAGGCGCTCGCCGTGGAACTCGCGCGCCACCAGGTAGGCGGTCGGGGGCTGCGGGCCTGGGGTCGGGGCTCCAGGCGCCGGAGACCCGCGTCCTCTTCCCCGTCGCAGGGTCTTCAGGGCTGGAGGGGCTCGGAGGGGCCCCTCCTTGAGCCTGCCCCAGGGGCGGGGGGAGTATGTACATGAACGGACCCCCCTTTGGGCTTCCCCTCTGCCCCCTCCTTTCGTACAATTCTGCACAGTTTGGGGGTCGAGGGCCCTTGGGACCCGAGCCTGGAGTTTTCTCTTTCTCGAGCAGGGTCTGCAGGACAGGGGTCCCGGGAGGGGACCCCTTGGTGCGCCTGCCCGGGGTGCGTGTGAGAGTGTGTGCGCCGACCCCCTCCGGCCCCCATCCCCCGGTGCAATCCTGCACAGTTTGCAAAAGTAGTTTTGGCGATTGTTGCTCGGGCGAGCAGCGGCGTGGCGGCCGGAGCCCGAGCGGTATTGCGGCGTGCGCGTGTGTGTGTTGGGGAGATTAGGACGCGACTTGAATATTTATGAGCTTTGCTCGACACGGACTCGCCGTGTTTACTTGGCTCTTTGTTCCTCCCCCCTCCCCCGGCACACACTCACACTCACTCGCACACGTACCCCGGCCTGCAAACTTGCACGGCTCGGGCCGCGCCGCCGGGTGGCCACGGCCCCCGCCCCGCCCCGCGAGCTGCCCAGATGCGGCGGCAGCCACAGGTAAGCGGCCCCGTGCGGCACTGCCCGGCCGCCGCGCGTGCGGGACGCGGCCGGGGGAATTTGGGGCGCGCGGCTGGCGGCCCGGGCCGGGGGCTGCGGCCCGCGGGGCTCCGGGCGCACTTGACGCCCGGGGCGGCCGGCCTGAGCCCGCTCCTCTGTGTTTCCGCAGAACGGCGACCTGAAGAAACAGCTCCACGAGAGGCAGCCGCGGATCGCCGCGCTCAGCGACAAACAAGTAAGCGAGCTGGAGCCTGCCCCCCGCCTCCCGCCCGGGGTGGGGAGGAGGGGTCGCCGGGCACTTTGGCAGCACCCTGAAAAGTGCCGGCCTCGGCGCCGCGCGCTCAGACTCCCAAAGGAGTCTCTCCAGCCCTCAAAGTTACCCGCACCCCCTTTTCTGGAAAGAAAGAGCCGGATTCTTGGAGGCCGAGGGGGGAGAGCGCGGCTCCCGCGGTGGCCGAAAGAGAGAAGCTGCACTTAAAAGGCGGCGAGCAGCCCGGCGTCCATTTTGAGTTGGTGGACATGTTTTTGGAATGTGGAAATTCTCCCGGCTCAGTGTCCCCCGCCTCACGCTGTGTGAGGGTGGGGGGAGAGGGGGCGGTAATTCGGGCCTGGACACCAAACTACTTGGAAGCGATTTCTGGGTTCCGTTGCAAATCTTATTTAAAGAATCGTTCCTCCGGGCCCCCCTCCCCTCCACTTCTCCAGCATCACTTTTATTCTTGGAACCTGACGCCAGCTCCCGGGGAACAAAAGAAAGGCGCCCCCAGGACCCCCCCAGTTCTGCCCCAACTTTGGTCTCCGGGCATCAGGTGTAGACTGGGACACGCAAGAAGCTCATTGCGATGGGGGGCACGGCCGCCGACCCCTCCCGGCCCCTCGGCGAGGAAAAGTTGTCCATTGTGACTTAGTTGCGCTGAGCTCAGCGGTAGGGGTTTCAGCACCACGAACAGATGCCACCGCCGGAGCGCGGCCGGCCGCGCGCCCCCGCCCCCTCCCTCCCCGCCGCTCGCTCCCCTCCTCCTCCGCCCCTCCCCCTGCGCTCCCTGCCGGCACACGCACTCCCGCCCCTTCCCCGAGCCGCCCCGAGCCGAGAACTTTGAGCGGCACAGCCAATGGCGCTCTCGGGGCTCCGAGGCTGGCGGGGGCGGGGGCGCCGGCGCCCTCCCCGCTGCCCCCTCCCCTTCCTCCGCCCGCCCCGCGGGCCCGCCCCCGCCCCGCCGCGTCCCCGGGCCATCGATCGCGCTTCCTTCGGAATGCCGGCCGCCGCCGTCAGCATCAAACTTGGCCCGCGCTGGCCCCCGCCCCCCCACCGGCCGCTGAGCTGGTCCCCTTCTTCCTCCCTCAACTCCCGGCGGGGGCGGCCCGTGCAGAAGCCCCCTCCCCGGAGGGATTGGCGGTGCGGGGAGAGACGTGGACGAGACTGGCGGGGGAGAACTCGGAGGCCGAGTGTTCATTTCGAGTCTTTAAAGTTGAAAAGTGGTGGGAGGGGGCGTGCGGGAGAGGAGGGGGCCGGGGGTTGCGGAAAGAAAGATGGCTGTTCCCGCGGGTCCGCGCCTGGTCGGGGGCGCCCGGCTGGACGGGAGGGTTGGGACGAATGCATTAACCCCTTTCTGGCGGTGCCGCGGCCCCCCTCCCCGGCCGCGCGCGCCCGCCCGCCCGGCCCGCGCCCCCGCTCAGGAGTGGAAGCTTCCATTCCCGCCGGAGGGTGGGGGGGCGGTGCGCGGCCCCGGCGAAGTCGGGGAGTTCGCGGGGGGAGGGGACCCAGGCCCGGCATTACCATTTTGATTGCTTTGATGCCATTTTTGGAGGGGGAGGGGTTGGAAGACCCTTCTCCGCTGAGCACAAAGATGTTTAATCACGGTATGGAATCAAATCAAATACTTTCTTTAAAAAAAAAAATCCACCACCAAATCTGGTACAGTGTGATAGCCGAGGGTTACTAAGCCTTTTTTCCACTGGGTAAAACGGCAAGTTGTTGACTCTTATGCTCGGAGTAGAAGATTTAAAAGAGAGAGAGAGAAAATCCAATAATCCGGCAGCTTTTATCGCAACAATGTCTCTTTATGTGTGCTTCTGCGTGGCAGTAGTTATACTGTTTGGAGTGGCTTTTCGGAGCTTAGGTTTGATCATTTCTGTATTGTAGCCAACTATTTCAAGGCTGTTTAAATTTTTATGATGATAGTAAATGAGTGGCGATTTATTATCTGTCATGCTTGAATTTAGACGAGGCAGAGAGAAACATTTGAAAATCATGTTTGAAGGTTGCGGTGCCGCCCGGCGAAGGAACTGTCCTACTCCAGGCTGCCTTTCCCTTTAAAATTGAACTCGGAGAAGGATGCTTGTGAACGGCATGTACCTCCATCTTTTTGTGTGTGTGTGTGAGTGTGTGTTTAAAAAGAAAGAAAGAAAAAAAACAGAAACTTTTGTTTTCTGGCCTTTTAAAAATATTTCTCTTTTAAATGACTAAAAATAACATCCGGTAAGTATCCGGCGTTTGTCCTGGCCATTGGAACTTGTGTTTGTAACTGTAAGTGTGTTGTTTTTCCTTTTTCCTTTGTGGCATTTTATATAGCAAGGGCTCATAAAAGAGGGAGGGAGGGCCTGGGGCTGTGGTGTAGCATGTTAATAAAGCTGCCTTGTCTCTCCCACGCTCCGCGGTGAAATCCTTCAGAGGTCACCTACGAAATGAGTTGGGCAGACTTAACATTTACTGTCTTTCTCTCCTTGGGAGAGTTTGGTGGAGATTGGCAGCTTGGCTGGGGAAAGGTCGATGCATGAGCCCTTGGCGGTGATTGGGGCTGTACCCAGGGCTTCGAAGAGGAGAAGCAGGCTCTGCCTTAGTCACCCCAGCGCCTGCCTAGGAGGAGCGGAAATGCCGGATCAGGGATTAAAAAGCCAGTGTTTCAGAGTTTGCTTTTAACGCAACAGAAGGGTAAAGGTAGTGTCCCTTTAGTGATGTGCTTGGGGAAGAGCTCACACCATCTTCCTCTCGGGAGATGTGGTTTTTTTGTCCTGCTCCCGCTTGGAATATGGGGTAGAAAGGTTACGTTTCAATTAAAGGTGTACACGAGGAGGATGAGCTTGATAGTAAAACGGACAGATGACCCCATTATCCACATTTGTTAGAGGTAGAGTAGCGGCGAGTGATACCTTTTGGTGCCTAGCCACCAATTTCCCATTCATGCCCTTGGCACTGGACTTTACTTAGTTACTTCTAGAAACATGGACAGGTGCTTAAAGATGTTTATCAAGGACTCCTAGAAGAAGATGGGTTGTTTGTTGGTCAGAAGTAGAGAGATACAAAGTCTGTGTAAGTGTCCAGCGTTTCTCCCACCATTGGTGGACTAGGGGATAAACAAGAAACCAGCTTCCATAGGACCGTGCTATTTGAAAACAGAGTTCATATTTTTTCCTTAAAGAAAAAATAATGAAGAGAGCTGTGGGGCAGGTGGTCGGATCTGAGTTGTGGGCCAGCCCACTTTGGCCAGGCTGCATTCCCAGGTGTGGCGGCCCCTCACCACTGGGTTGTGATTCCGGTGGAAGATGGACCCCGTCCGTGTCTTTAACAAGATATGATGTGTGAAGACTTCATTAGTTGCTCCAGTGGTTTTATGCCGTGAATTTGCAGCACATGCAGAGAGGCAGTAACATTTTCATCTAAATTGTCAAGCAACAAGCACATCCGTGTAAATAACAGACCCGTCATAAATCCTGGAGGGTTTGTGTTTTTTTCCTCCCTCTTTGGAGTTCTCGGCACAACATGTAGATGCCACGGGAAGCAGGCATCTTCAGACCTGAACTTCACGCAAGTCCAGCTTCCCCACAGAGCGTGAGAGGAGCCTCCTGTCTCAACTGCAGTCCGAGCTGGCGTGGCAGAGAGAGCACCGGCCTCCGCCCCAGTGAACTTGGGGCCTTGTGTGCCGCTCCATCCGTCGACTTGATGGACTCCGGATTCCGAGGGGATGTCCTCAAGTGCAGCAATAAAAATGTCTTCTTGAAAGGTATCACGTATGTGGCATTCGCCCAGGCGCTGAATCACATCTTCACAGTGATTCACTAGCTATTGTACCTTGGACACCAGAGGGATTCTACAGTGGAAGCGTCCACCAAACAAAATTGCAGGGTGGGTTTATTGTGAAAGCTCCCCAGTTGTTTTCAGTCCTTCAGTAAAAGGATGCGCCATTGTCCAAGCTCTGCCCCCCGAGTCTGCTCTCATCCAGGAGGCCAAATTTTAATCTTCCTGACCTAGAGTTCAAGATCGCATTCTTAAACTAGCACCATTACATGTGAAAGAGAAAACTAATGCTGTCTCTCCAAGCTCCGCCTTTCATATTCTGGAAAAGAGCATGGGGTTGAGACAGCAGGGGCCTAGTCCTGGCTTTGCCTGCTGCCACCTGCTTGGCCTTGACCCCTGACTCCCCCTCCCACAGCCAGAGTCTCCCAGACCCACACTTTGATCTGAGCCACATTCCTGGGGCCCCTCTTCCCCTCCATCTGTCCACCCCTCTGGTCCCTCCCGCATCATCTCTTAGCTGGAAGATTACAGTAGCCTCCACACTGCATCCACTTAAAAAAAAAAAGCTTTATTGAAATATAATTCACATATCACATAATTCACCCATTTAAAGTTTACAGTTAAGTATTGTTTTGTACGTTCACAGATATTTGCAGCCGATCACCACCATCGATTTTAGAACATTTTCATCATCTCAGAAAGAAACCCTTTGGGTGTCATCCCCGCTGCACACCCCACCCCCAGGCCCTAAGCAACCGCTAAGCTACTCTCTGTCTTTATAAATCTACTTTTTATCGCTATAGAGTTACTCATTCTGGACTTTTACGTGAATGGAGTTATATAACGTGTGGTCTTATATGACGCGCTTCTTTCACTGAGCGTAATGTTTCAGGGTTCTTCCAAGTTGTAGCGCGTGTCAGTACTCGATTCTTTCTTATGTCTGAGTAATAGTCCATTGTATGGGAGACGGCGTTTTGCATCCGTTCACCAGCTGGTGGGCACTGGGCTGGTTTCCACCTTCAGGCTCCTGTGAACAGTGTACTGCGTTTCCTCATGCCCCCTCTGGTTCATCCTCCACCAGAGTAAGTGTCTTAAAACTTGAACAGGATCACGGCGCTCCCTTGCTTGAGACCTTCCAGTGGTTTCCCCGCTGCTCTCTGCGGGGGCTGACCCTTCCCCCCCTGCTCGGCCCCCAGCAGTGCGGCTCCTTGGCTGTTACC